GCCAAGTGCTCGGGGCTGGCCTGGCCCCGGGCACGTGGCGCATGCGCGGTGCTGGAGCCGACCCCGGGCACATGGCGCACAGTGAGCGCCGGCCCCGGGAGCGCTGCGGATTGGACGCCCGCGCTCTGGGCATGTGGTGCTTGGAGGGGGCACTGGCCCCGGGCACGTGGCTATGGGGGGGCCCCGGCCCCGGGTGCGTGGCTATGGGGGGCCCCGCCCCCGGGCATGCGGCTATGGGGGGGGCCGTCCCCGGACGCGCAAGTGTCCCCGCTCCCTGGCGCCCGGCGGGCCAATGGCCACGCCCCCTGGTGCCCAACAACCTCAAAAGGTTGGGGACCACTGGTTTAGGGTCAGCTATAAGATGTCAGCATACTGCGGGGTCATGAGGGTGCCAATAGCTGTGCCGGTGACTTGAAGGTATAAACTGTCCCCAAATTGGAAATAGTTGTGGGTGAGGACACTCTCATCCCCTAGCACCTTTACTCTACTTATGATACATCGGTGATACCTTCATCATATGAACCCATGGGAAGGAGACCATGAAGAATTCCACAGGGATTTCAACAACTTTAACCCCACCATCAAACTTAGCCTGAACCAGTCCACACAAGAGAGCCACTTCCTTGGCACTACAGTACAATTAAATGATGGCCACATTTCCACCGCTTTATATCAGAAACCTACCAACACTTATTCTTACCTACATGCTTCTAACTTCTATCCAGGACACATCACACAATCAATTGTTTACAGCCAAGCCTAAGATACAACCAGATTTGCTCCAATGCCACAGACAGAGACAAATACCTACAAGATCTTTATCAGGCATTCTTAAAACTTAAGTACCTGCCTGAGGAAGTGAAGACAGAGCCAGACAAGGAAACCAAGGAACCAGCTTCTTCAAGATATTTCCTGGTTGGACCTAACAGAACACTACTACTGATCACCTACAGCCCCCAACTTAAACCCTTCCAGAGCATCATTAACCATCTACACCCTATCCTGGAAAATGATCCCTCTCTCTCACAAGCCTTGGGCGACAGGCCATCCTTGCCTACAGACAAGCCCCTAACTTCAAACAAATTATTTCCAGCAACCACACATCACATCTCAGACACACTCACCCAGGAATCTACCGCTGCAATAAACCCCATTGACAATTCTGTCTACACATCTATACAAGTGAGACAATCACAGAACCTAACCACATAAGCTCCAACATCAGAAGCTTGTACAACTGCACATGCTCGAATGTGATATATGACATCAAGTGCCAGCAATGCCCCTCTGCCATGTATATTGGCCAAACTGGACAGTCTTTATGACAAAGAATAAATGGACACAAATCAAATATCAGGAAAGGTAATACACAAAAACCTGGAGATGCATATTTTAATCTCCCTGGGCACTCATTAATAGTTCTAAAAGTTGAAATTCCTTTGTAGAAGAATTGCTAAAACCAACTACAGAGAGAAACTGAGTAACTGACCTTCATATGCAAATTTGACACCATCTCTCAGGGCCTGAACAAAAACATGAACTGAATGGGCTATTATATTCACTACCCAATTGATATCAAAAGCTAAGTATGGAACACTTCCAGCCCACTCAATTAGCCTCATTAGCACCGGCACTACAATTGACAGGTACTTTTTTTCCTCCTTCCCCTCTTCTTCTGTTATATATTGGGAAGTTTTTCTTTTTTTTCCTCCACTCTACTCATCTGAGGAAGTGGGTTTAGCCCATGAAAGCTTGTGATACTTATATATAAACACACACATATTGTTTCTTAACAAAAACTTTGTTGCTCAATTTCCAGTGTAGACAAAGTCTCAGTGTTGAAAGGTCAGCTAGGACTCCAAATACATTCCATTCTTGACTTCTTTGGTGAGATTGCAAATAAAGACATAAATGCCAAATTATGATAGAAACATCTGCTCATTAAATATTGGTTTAAAAGCATTAATTTATTTTGCATAGAAGACTAAAAAGGTAACAGAGTATAATAACTTCTTTTATTACAAGCCTAAAGTTAAATCAAAAGAGGACAGTCTTCCTCCACCACAGTCAAAGTCATATACTTACCGCTTTCTAATTAGAGTATATTTTGTGCTAAGATATGTTTCTTTTCCTGGAATCCAACTGCAAGTAAATTTAACATCATAATGGTAAATGCAGGAAATATTCCTTGGTGTGCTTGGTGGAACTATAATCAGATAAAAAAAATAATTAAATTCTAGATAAAAACATAAAATTGACTACTGTACAGAAATAGTATGATCTCAGCCAGTTAGAATATGTAGCTATATGGCAAATTTCAGTAAATTTACAATATGCATATTCCCTACTTTGACTCATGACTGTCCTTAGAACTCAAACAAATATTTTTACCAAAATTAATTCCCCCAAAAATATACAACTAAGCATTCTGGTATAATAAAAAAAAACAGCAATCTTATCCTGAGCCAATTAACACATTGACCTCCAGTCTCAATGTTTATTTTGCTCAAGGTGTATATATCCACAGCACAACTGGTGGCTGAACTCTGTGAATTTATCCTCACACACAACTATTTCAGATTTGGTGACAACATATACCTCCAGACCAGTGGCACTGCTATGGGCACCCGCATGGCCCCACAATACGCCAACATTTTTATGGCTGACCTGGAACAACGCTTCCTCAGCTCTCGTCCACTTACACCCCTTCTCTACCTACGCTACATCGATGACATCTTCATCATCTGGACCCATGGGAAGGAGACTCTGGAAGAATTTCACCATGATTTCAACAGCTTCCACCCCACCATCAACCTCAGCATGGACCAATCTACACGGGAGGTCCATTTCCTGGACACCACGATACAAATAAGTGACGGTCATATCAATACCACCCTATACAGAAAACCTACCGACCGCTATACTTACCTGCATGCCTCCAGTTTCCATCCCGGACACACCACACGATCCATTGTTTACAGCCAAGCACTGAGGTACAACCGCATATGCTCCAACCCCTCAGACAGAGACCTACACCTACAAGACCTTCAACAAGCATTCTGTAAACTGCGATACCCACACGAGGAAGTGAGGAGACAGATTGACAGAGCCAGACGTGTACCCAGAAGCCTCCTGCTACGGGACAAGCCCAAGAAAGAAACCAACAGAACACCACTGGCCATCACCTATAGTCCCCAGCTAAAACCTCTCCAACGCATCATTAGTGATCTTCAGCCCATCCTGGACAATGATCCCTCGCTCTCACAGGCCTTGGGAGGTAGGCCGGTCCTTGCCCACAGACAACCCGCCAACCTGAAGCATATTCTCACCAGCAACTACACACCGCACCATAATAACTCGAACTCAGGAACCAATCCTTGCAACAAACCTCGGTGCCAACTCTGCCCACATATATACACCAGCAACACCATCACAGGACCTAACCAGATCAGCCATACTGTCACTGGTACATTCTCCTGCACATCCACCAACGTAATATATGCCATCATGTGCCAACAATGCCCCACTGCTATATACATCGGCCAAACAGGACAGTCCCTACGTAAAAGAATCAATGGACACAAATCTGATATTAGGAATGGCAACATACAAAAACCTGTAGGGGAACACTTCAATCTTCCTGGACACACAATTGCAGATCTAAAAGTAGCTATCCTGCAGCAAAAAAACTTCAGGACCAGACTTCAAAGAGAAACTGCTGAGCTACAGTTCATCTTTAAGTTTGACACAATCAACTCTGGATTAAACAAAGACTGTGAATGGCTTGCTAACTACAAAAGCAGCTTCTATTCTCTTGGAATTCACACCTCCAGATCAGCTGCTAGAAGTGGGCCTCATCCTCCTTGATTGGATCCACCTGGTCATCTCCAGCCTGATCCTGGCCTGCATATTTATTCCTGCCTCTGGAAATTTCCACTACATGCATCTGACGAAGTGGGTCTTTGCCCACGAAAGCTTATGCTCCTACACTTCAGTTAGTCTATAAGGTGCCACAGGACTCCTCGTCGATATCTCAGACAGAGATCACATGAATTGCCAAACTTAGAGGTGCCAGGGCTCAGCCAGGGCTCAGCCCAAGCAAGCTCTGGCACAAATTAAGCACTGCTCTCCCCCCCACACCTCCCCACACACACATTGCCCCAAGCATGAATCTGTAGATCCTGTCTTAATTCATCCCAGTCATAGCAGCTTTAGAATGACATGCATGTTTATTCAAAGGCATTAGTTTCAGACAGCTTGCAGTTTATTTATAATTTGCTCAACAAGAGGAGCTTACTCAGTACCTTCTCTGGAGACAGTTAGGGTAAGACAAACTGGATGCAACATATTAATATCTAACATCTTGAACAAAAGCTCATGGATGTCAAGAACTACGAACAAGCTTGAGTAAGGGAAGCAGATACTCCTCTGTCATTACAGAAAAACAGCAAAAAATGCTTGCATAAAAAATCCTAAAATGCAACAAACTATCAATTTGATTAATCATTTTACATCATTTAAAAGTTGTCCACTATAAGTATTATGGGTATCATTTGCATTAGGATCTTTTAAAAGTTTTTAATTTCAAAGTCACATAATTCTACTTACAGCCAGATTTAACTTTTGTGTGAACCAGAAGTTGTTCTTTATCTGGGTATTTAATTAAGCATTTCACATGTGCACTTTCATCAGTGAAATTATGGATGGTTACACCACAAACAGTTTCATTGATAATGTTGTAGTTTTCTTGTGCAATCAAATTCTGATTCAACTTCCAGATGATGTGACTTGCATTTCTGTAAGGCATGTCGTAGTATCCCATAAAGCAAAGAAGATTTAAGGTTGAGCCTCTTTCAATTTCAGGAAACTGAGGAGAAATGTAAGCATTCCTCACAGAATTTCTATCTAAAAAAAGAGTCAGACAAATCAAACATTTTTTAAAAATATTTATATCATTTAAAGGCTATGTCTACACTGCAATTAAACATCAGTGGCTGGCCCACGTCAATTGACTCAGGCTCACAGAGTTCCTGTTAAGGAGCTGTTTAGCAGCAGTAGAGATGTTTGAGCTCTCTAGGACCCTGTGAGGGGGAAGGTCCCAAAACTCAGGCTCCAGGTAGGCCTAAACATCTATATGGCAATTATATAGTACTGTACTTCAATAGTTTTATTTTTCCATATATCTAACTGATATAGTAGCCACTAGAACATTAGATGATCCTGACTGGGAGAACAAGCAATTTATATGATTACCTCTATTAAAATGCATACCTTACTAAACTAAAGCTTGAGAACGCCTACTGTCAAATTTACAGTGTCTGGATGATCGTGGTGCTAAAGGAGCACTCACTGAGAGATTCATTGAGAAGATAAATTCAATTGTTGCATAAGTATTCACTGCAGATGGTATGATGGAAACTCCCTTCCCTTAAGACATTTTTAAGAGACAAATCTAAGGAACTGTCAATGACAGAATGCACCCCTGAATCCACACCCAACATCATCTTATAAATTATCCTCATATAAAGTATGTGTTGCAAGGTACCATTTCAAAACCCATAATTTGTTGATCACTATTATCCCGGTAAAATGTGTGTAGTAACATTGTATGTAAAGTAATGCACGCTGGAAATAGCAACCGCAACTATACATATCATATGATGGGGGCTAATTTGGCTATGATAAATCAGGAAAGAGATCTTGGAGTTATCGTGGATAGTTCTCTGACAACATCCACACAGTGTTCTGCGTCAGTCAAAAAGGCAAATAGAATGTTAGGAATTATTAAGAAAGGGATAGAAAATAAGACACAGAATATCTTACTGCCCCTGTACAAAACTATGGTACGCCCACATCTTGAGTCCTGTGTACAGATGTGGTCTCCTCACCTCAAAAAAGATATTTTGGCCTTGAAAAGGGTCCAGAAAAGGGCAACTAAAATGATCAGAGGTTTGGAACAGGTCCCATATGAGGAGAGGCTAAAGCGACTGGGACTTTTCAGTTTGGAAAAGAGGAGACTGAGGGGGGATATGATTGAGGAAAATAAAATCATGAGTGGTGTGGAGACAGTGAATAAAGAAAAGTTATTCATTAGTTCCCATAATATAAGGACTAGTGGACACCAAATGAAATTAATGGGTAGCAGGTTTAAAACTAACATGTGAAAGTTCTTCTTCACACAGCGCATAGTCAACCTGTGGAACTCCTTGCCAGAGGAGGCTGTGAAGGCTAGAACTATAATGGAGTTTAAAGAGAAGCTAGATAAATCCATGGAGGTTAGGTCCATAAAAGGCTATTAGCCAGGGGATAGGAATGGTGTCCCTGGCCTCTGTTTGTCAGAGGCTGGAGACAGATGGCACGAGACAAATCACTTGATCATTCCTGGGTGTTGGCCACTGTCGGCAGACAGGCTACTGGACTAGATGGCCCTTTGGTCTGACCCAGTATAGCCACTCTTATGTTCTTAAGTTATAAAATTCCTCTGTATGGTGTTATTAACACATGTTGCAAATACCACAGCCCTGCCCAAATGGAAGTTGGCAAAAAGATCTGCCTTAACCAAAGCAATGAATGCTCTACATAATTGGCATTTAAGCAATAAAGTCATCAAGCAAGAGGTAGAGACAAAGAAAGTTCAAACAGGTGAAAAACAGCAGGGAATATCCATCCACATGTGTGTTCAAGGTTTTCTTCATGCACCAAGTGGCTAGAAGAAATATATATATATATATATAAAAAAAGAATGATAAACACAGAAACCCATTCCTTTCTCCCCTCCTACCTATCAATTGCACCTGATGAGACAAAGGAAGCAAGTATTATATTCTGGAGGAAAGGTACAGAACAAAACCGTTTGTTATCATTGTATTAAAGCAAGCTGAACTATGCCTCCTACCCAAGAGGTTGCCATGTGTTTCATCTCCCAGTATAGGAGGCGTTGATGTCATATTGTGTTGTTAAGGCTGTCTGACATACTTCCTATATAATAACCTGTTTCAACTGCTTATAATATTGCCAAACTAAGTGGTTGAGTTGAAATTTTCCATATTAAAAAAATAGTACATAATTATAAAAGGGGGGCAAGTTAAGATGCACAGGCAATCTTAATTTCAGCAATTCCTAATTTGAGTGTTTGACTTTGCAACCTCAATACTGTTCTTTGAACATAGCTTCTATTATAAATAAACACATTACACCCAAAAACTCTACCTCATTAGAATGGCCTGTTCTGAAAATAAGAAGCAGATAGGGTAGTAGTCTGGTACTTTAGTGCTATTTATCCAGATCAATCAGTTAAATAGTCAAACTTTGTTCTGAACGTGTGTCATTTCCCTCTATACTACACACCATTCACCCAGCCCTCCTCTCACCTATCCCATTTGTTAGGAAAGTTGCAAAAAGAAAATTCCCTTTGCTTTTCAGTGGTGTTTGTGCCCTTATAGTAAAGGACTTCACTAGTGTGACTAAAAAATGGAGAGCGTTTCCAAAATTGCTGGCCTTTGTAAGTGATCTTTGATTCCTTTTTTACTTCAAAGGAAATTCATCTCTTCCATGCTTTCTACTCTTTTTCTCTATTGCCATATGTTAACTGTATACATTTAGGTAGGCTAAAAATGGTCTGTTTACTCGTTTTGTTACACGTGTCCAAATAAAAAATTTTAAATACTGCTTGCATAGTGTTCAGCTGTATTCTTCTCATGGAGTGTTCTGGCTTCTGAAGACATTTGTAGATAGTTCTTGCATACAACTCTAAGAAAAAAAGAGCTAACAATCCTTTTACATGTGACCTTTGTTGCCTGTCTTGTGATAATTTAAGTTTTATTTTAAACATTTTAAATGCACAAAAAATTGCACATGAACTGCCAATATAACCACTAAAGACTTCATATTTTGCCAAATTAGTACTGATATTTCCTGTTCTAAGGCTAAATAAAAATTGGAAGCTCAAATACTATTTTTCACTGATGAGAAATAAAGACTATTTAAATTACAAACAATATACATATATGAAGGTTTACTACATTTGTCCCTGAATAGGAAATGTGGCTATATACATCTTGCCCATACGTATTAAATACTACTAATGATTAATTGTTTAGTTTAGAATTCTCCTAAAATACTGCATCCTAACAATAAGATGCTTTGCCATGGCTTTCTAATACAGCCCCGCCTCCTCTCTAAGCAACAGGGAAAGAACGAATGTGATTTCTTCTGAGTGTTTGTAATAAGATTAAGCAAATACAGGTATTATATTCATTAATCAGCGTTCTAACTGTAAATACATGTGATTACATCATTTGTTGCTCTAAAAGTTATACACTATTTCCAACTAACTGGGATACTGATGAATATACTTAGTTATTTATTAAAGATCTAATGCAAATTCTACTTTTTCCATTCAGTTATTTTTTAAACAATTGCTATCATTTTTCCTTTTCTTTAGAAATGTTTCTTAAAGTAAGACACAAGTTAGCAAGACAGAGCAGTTTCATCCTACCTGCTATAAAGGTTCTGCAAAGTACAGTTAATATCCAAAGCAAACAGTAGAACATTTTCTTTACAATAACTGGGAACACTGTAAAAAAATATAAATAAAAGTTATTTATTTCAATAGAAAGGGCACCTCCTCCACCTCTCTCAGTGCTATATATCAATACAATAATCTATACATAAAATATATACAAACGTAAACAAATAAGTCTTTTTTTCAGTTAACTATATTTTCCAACAGAAGTCAAACTGGTATTATTTTGCCTTTTGGAAATCCCTAATTTTATGCTTAGTAATTTGGAAAGTTCCTCACGTTATCTTACCAACAAACTTGGACTGTGTTCAGAGAATTATACAACAACAGGAAGGATGTGGTACATGTATCGCAATATATACATTAATAAGTGTTATGCAATCTGTTACTCCATTGGGGCTCACAGGTCAACACTGCAGTGCAGCTAATGTATAGTAATAATAAGCCTATGATAGGCACTTTTTAGGAAGATACAACTCAAAATAAAATCTCTTGAAAGGATTTTATTTTCTTTCTGTAGAGGAGTTAGCTCCATGCATTAAGACTTTAATTCAGCAAAGCACTTTACTATTTGCTAAACATTAAGCATAACCCCCACAAACCATTCATCTGTATAAGTGCTTTGCTGAAACGCAACCCAGATACTCAGATGAATTACTGATAGGCAGTAAAAGTTCAAGTGTAACATGATTTTTTTAAAAGCTTCAGAGGGGTAGCCAAGTTAGTCTGTAACAGGAAAAACTTAAACAACAAATTATCTTCTAGGACTTTAAAGACTAATTTATTTCTGTTATTTATGCATCTACAAGTTTTCCTGGATTTTAAGGAGCATGTGTTATTTTCACTCCCATGTCAGTAATGGACAATTTTGTGACTGACAATTTCCTGTATACTAATTCTGCTTGTTTATTTATTATTATTATTATTATTTCATTGTCATCATTGATGGAGTCAATCAGATTCAGAACACCTGTTGGGTTAGGGGTCCTACAAATGCATACAAAGACTTGGGGAGCTCACAGTCTAAGACTTTGCAACTATGCCCTGTGGGTACAGATCACTGTGAAAGTAGAAAGAATTATATTGTAAGAGAAAGATGAATTGCACTATAATAATTGAATAAGTTTAAGGAATACTGTTTGCCTCTGAACAGAAGAGAGAAGATTATGTTTGTAGGTATGCAGATCGGAATGAAGCCAGGAGTGCCTGGGATAACAGGAAAAGGAACATTAGGTGTTAGGCAGAAAGTAATTGAGGTAACCAGGGAGATACAGACAGGAGATTGCTGTGTGCTTGATATGGAAATGAAGATACTCGACTAGTCTCATACTCTCATGTGAGTTTTGCCTCCTTTTTAGATCATGTTAATTTTGCTTTCTTTTGTCTGTATAAATCAAGGAGTTTGAGCTTTGTACGGCACTCACATTTTCTGGGTGTATTAGCACCGCGGCTTTGCTAATAAACAGAGTGATCTGACAAATCTGAGTCCTGTGTCTGACTTTGACAGGACCAATTCAATTTAGATGCATATCTGCAGAATTTGTTGACATCAGTTTTGACCTCTTTTCACTCCCATTTGCTCTGCAAAGACAGCTGAATTCTATTTCATTCTTGATGCAGAAGGCATTTAATATGTTTCAAACAAACAGTCTTATCTGTGAAAGGCCATTTAACACAGTGATGCTCCAGCTAAGACACAAGAGATGCAAGAACACTTTCATATGTCTCCTACAGCTCTCTGCAGTATATGATGATACAACATTGTGTGATTTAATTATTAAACAAAGAATCTAAACCAATCAAGATGCTTTTACTATGTTATTAGGCAACTGCAGCTGATAAAATAATATTTGCTGTGAGATTAATATATATAAAAATAGTTCATGAAACAATGAATTCACACTAGAGCGGTTTTTTAGGTAATGCTCATGGTTCATTTGGCTCCTGAACTAATGAGGTCTGAGTATCACTGATTTAACATAATGTTGTTGCATATATCAGTGAGAGTATAATTTGGCCAGCAGAACATTGATAATGACAATCCACTCAACTCTCAGATCACAGGCTGAGTTTACAGGACTAGCATCTAGAGACAAACACTTCTTCTTGAGGCCATCCACAAATCTGGAAGCTGGATTGCTTCTCCTCCTTCACATAAATCAAGGCATCTCCACACCCACACAGCACCTACCACTCAGATCTGCACTCAGAAGCTCTTCCTAATCAATGGCCATTCTGTCTTCAACAGGGAATAGGAAAATTATCCATTTTTATCTGAAATTTCAAGAAATTTAAAAAATAACCAATTAACTGCTAATTAATAATCCTGTACCTTTTCCCAATTAAGAGTCAGGGTGGGCTGGTTTGTGGACCTCATTAATCCAAGAAAGGAAATTTTCAGATAAGGCATGGACAGACTATTCATATTAGTAATGAGGGCCATAGATCCCTGGCATACTGGAGTTTCATAGCAGTGTCCATTTAGGAGAGGAACTATATACAGTTATGTATTGAAGTGAAAGGGGATGACCCTTTTGTTATAGTTACTGAGATACTACAGTGAGGAGCTACTAAAGGCAGCATCAGATGATGACTAAACATCCAGCTTGTAGAATCTGAAGGAGTTATGAACAGAGGATTGCATTCCAAATTTCCTCATATGAAGATTATGAATATTTTGCCCATAAAGCTGCCATAGGTGTGAGGGAAATTAGCTTACATACTGGAAAACAGAGTTACTCACATGCTAGATGATCCAGACAGGGAGGATTGTGAAGCCTCCTTTCCCTCTGCCAACAATAAAAGCGCAAACAAGCATTTGTCTTTCTGACTTAAGCTGTACCATGACAATTCTGGTGGATACGCGCATAATACAACACTGTACAAAGGGGAACATGTTCCAATTCATATTTTGCAGTTGCTTAAAATTCTTGGTTTGTTTCTGTAATAGCAATTGAAGATAAATGGATAACGTTTTTGATGCAGGATGTCTTTTTTAAAGACATGACACGCCCTTCAACTAAAGAGTTAAAGCTCAAAATAATATACTTCAAAACTCCCAGAGGTCACTTAGCAAAAACAGAAAGTTTAGACATGACATTCCTGATATTTCTAAGGTACAAATCAAGTAAAAAAAAAAAGCGAAGGACCTCTCAGGTTTTCATTTTGCATTTTTATAGACCTTTTTGTGACAAATTTACAGTTTCTTTTTGTACATGTGCTGTTATCCTATTCAAATTCCCACTTTAGTAAATACATATGCTCTATCTAAATCTCACTGAAATTTCAGCTAAATATACCACTCTTCACTTCATGTCACAAACTGCTGTATGATAGTGGCGTTATTAAACAGTTGTGTTCTACATCAAAGGCTGTCTTTCAATAGTAAGTGAAATGGTTCCTGTACCATATGTTCAAGTACTATGAAAACAACTTTTGATTCCTTCAATTAGTACTAAACCAGTAGGTTTACAGTTATTAGAAATGCCTATCTAGTTAAATGTAAAATGTTTTCCAAAAGTTCATGCCAATTATTGTGGCACCAATCATGCAAACAGTTATGTATAAAAGCAGATGACTCCTCTGTGTGATGTTAGTTATGTGTGTAATTGTTTGCTTGAAAGAACTTTATAAGCAGCCAGTATTCAACAATTAAAATAAGTGGAACTTTTTAAGAATTTGCAAGATCAAAACCAAGAAATCAGTAACAGCACATATATAAATGCTCCTGCCCCACTCCAATCCCAGCTGGGCTGCCCCGTTTCTGAAGCCCTTGTCCTGCTTCTGGGTAGCAGGTGGCTCCAGCACCACTGCCGCCTGACCACGGACCCTGCTACTGCGGCCCTGGTTCTGATGGTGGGCTGCTGCGGCCCCAGCCAGGCTTTCCCTGCCAGGTTGCCATGACCACAGGCCCATGTTGTCCAAGTGACCCACAGCCTCAGTCCCCATCTTGGCTGTCAGGTGGCACACAGCCCCGGGGGGCTGTAATGGCCCTGGCCAGGCTTCCTCTGCTGGACTGCAGCAGTCCCGCTGCTGATTAGGCTAGTGTGGCCTCGGTTGGGCTGCAGAGGCTCCAGCCCCACAACCATCAGCCTTCTGAGCTCCCAGCTGCTGGCCCTCCTTCTGGACTACGGATGTTGCCGGACCAGAGGGTCCCAGTTAAGGTAGGTGCAACCTGTAGATAAAATCTCTAAAGATTTCATTCTGACAGAGCATGCTTCATCCTCTCATGACTCTTAATGCTGACTTAGTCAGACTTTCCCTGTATTAGCTGCTACCAGCTTCCCTGGGATCAAAGTGGGGTCTCACACTGGAACCAAGACAAGAACTTAAGAGCCTGAGAACTATGGGTCACCAAATGATATTAATAGGTAGCAGGTTTAAAACAAAGGGAAGTTTTTCTTCATGCAGGGCAGAGTTAACCTGTGGAACTCCTTGCCAGAGGATGTTGTGAAGACCAGGACTTTAATAGGATTTTAAAAAGAACTAGATAAGTATTGATGGACCTAACCTCCATGAATTTATTAGCCAAACTGGGTAGGAATGGTTGTTAGAGTATGGGGGAGTCACTGGGCCCTGCACCCCCACTCGCAGTCAGATTGACTCTCAAGCCAGCAAATAGAACAAAAGGTTTATTGGTTCACAGGGACACAGAGTAGCACAGACTTGTTGTTACAGGAACCAGGAGCATTCAGTACAATCCATCTTGGGGCAGAGGTTCCCAGAGCAAGGGCTCTGGGACACTGCCCAGTCCCCTAAGCCAGCTAGACTCCTTTCTCCCTAAGCCAGGCAAAAAACTAACTCATACACACACAAACTAGCTCCAGCCCTCTAGGCAGTCCCACCTACTCCTTTGTTCAGATTGGGAGGGGGGGCAGGTATCACCTGATTGCTCCCTCCACCCAGGCTCAGGTTACAAGAGCAGCTGAGCTATTATTGTGTAACTGCTAAGATGGGGCCACACATCAGAGAGCCACACACAACATTCCCATCTCCCAACTCTCCCATTCCCATCTCCCAGTGCAGTGCCCAGGGAAACTGAGGCGCACACACACAGAGTTACAACAGAACAACACAGGACAGTAGGAATCATATACATCATAACAAAGCAAACAGTGAATATAGTCCCCACTACATCACAATGGTGTCCCTAGACTTTGTTTGGCAGGGGCTGGAAATGGATGACATGAGAGGGATCACTTGATGATTCCCTGTTCCGTTCACTCCCCCTGGGGCATCTGGTATTGGCCACTGTCAGAAAAGAGGATACTGGGCTAGATAGACCTTTGGTTTGACCCAGCATGGCCGTTCTTATGTCTCTCCTCTGTTCTCAGTGACCCTCCTCAGTGAACTCAGCCATCACGCAGAAGGAAATGGTCTAAGTTAATTGCAAAGGGGACAGCAGCCAGCCAGATAAGAAGAGGAAAATGTGTAGACTGTGACAAGGATAGTGGAAGAACTGGAACTGGAAATGGCAAGGAGAGAGAGACTGGTTTGATGAGGAGCCCAATAAGAGAGACTAGGACTGGGAGCCAGTAGAGGAAAGGGGAGACACAGATCGGATGGGAAGTTGGGAAGGTGGAACCGGGACTGATTAGGACATAGGACTGAGGCAGAGGAAAGACAGATCAGATAAGGAAAAGTTGTGGGGGTAGAACTAGGATTGACTGAACAAGAAAACTAGAAAAGTCTGAAGAGTGGAGACTGAAACTGGATAGATAAGGAGAATGGGAACAATATGTTATGCCAGGAACAGCAAAGAGATAGGACTGGGACAGGCCACCAAGGACAGGATAGCTGGGTTCATGCTTGGGGAAAACAGGCAGAAAGGTCTGTGTCCGTTAGAACACACACTGCTGCTAAGCCTTAAAGGAACTCAAGTTTCCTGAGACTTACCATTCCTCTGCTGTGAGCATGCTTAAAACTCACTGGCAACATTGGTATGTCTCATCCTCCTCTAATGCTAGTGGATGTCAATCTACTAATGTTATTTGTTACTCCATTAGCTCAAATGGCAGAGTCTGTGCAGCCAGCGTAACAGTTACAACTCTGCTGATTACACATGTTCCAACTTTGCTGATTACACATGTAGATCTTAATATGATGCCGCTAGATGGAATTTGTTTTTTCAATATGTTTTTCTTTAAAACTATGCACTAAAACATTACATTTAAAGGTTGTTATTAAGACTGCAAAGTGCAGCACTCAAAAGTCAGGAAATGCTTGCTTGTGCGTATCTATTGCAATTACAGCTGGCTGGAAATTTTTGGACCAAATGTTTTTGCTCAAAGTGCTGATTAACAAACAGAATTTGTTTACAAGAAAGAAGCCATTTGGGGGGAAATGGGAAAAAGTTTTGAAGTTGTTGAAACGTCCCAGTGTGACATTTTTCTAAAATTTGCTGTTGACATTTTCAAAAGTTAAAATACTGAACTGATGAAAAAAGTGTTGAAGTACTAACTCAGCTTTTGAAAAAGAGAAGCTTCTTTTGCAGGTGCAGAGAGATTGGTTTCTTCGTTTCATTTTATTCAACTAGTTTAGTTCAATGACTTCACTCAAGATCAAGAAAGTATTTGGGTGCTGAACAAGTACGAAAGCTTGTTTACCTCTTGTAGTCTATGAATAAGAAGGAGGTATGACAGGACGACAGCTACAATTTTTGAAATCTTTGAAGGACATGATGACCAGAAACAATCAGTTCAATTCATTAGATACATATACTACTTCTTTCAGTTAATAAAATAGTTAAATTTAAATGCAAAACACGGTTGACAAATTTGCTTTTCCTATTTATACAGCACATTTTAGATGTTTATTAAATTAAATTATTTTAAAAAGCTCTGTTGTGCATTTGAATTTCCATCCAAATGTAGAATAGTGATAGAAATGTATCCATGTTAGTCTGGTGTAGCTGAAACAAAATATAGGACCATTTTTTTTTTAATTGTATCCTTTGGTATATACGGTTGTGACTATTTTCTTCCACTATTTGATCTGAGGAAGTGGGTCTGGCTCACGAAAGCTCCTCATCTAATAAACCATCTTGTTAGTCTTTAAAGTGCTACATAGTCCTGTATTTTGTTTCATCCAAATGTAGTTTGACAAAACATCAAATAAAATATTGAATCCCAGAGTGCATAAGAGATGTCACTCACCATTTTCTGACATCATAAACAATAAGAATATTAATTATGTTAAACTATACAAGTGCTTAAATTAATTTATATAGAATAAATATAATGTTCCCTGGTTACCAAAAAGTACAACCAAATTTAGCTTAAAGGCTATATTTAGTCACAAATTAACATATTTCAATAGCGATACCAACTAGTGAGACTCAAACACTCTTCAGGAAGATAATTAAAAAGTACAAAACAAGATTAAAACTATTTAAATCAAGATTCCTTGCTCCTTGATTTAAATCAGTTCACTCTGCTGGACACTGATGCTGCTGCTCCCACAGAAGAAAAAAAAATTCCAGTGCTACTACACTGAATCCCAGATATTTAGATATGGAAAGGATATCAAGAAGTTATCAAGATCAGCCCACTGTATGGAGGCAGAACCAAGTACAGGCAGTCCCCGGGTTACGTACAAGATAGGGACTGTAGGTTTGTTCTTAAGTTGAATCTGTATGTAAGTCGGAACGGGCATCCAGATTCAGCCGCTGCTGAAACTGATCAGTTTCAACAGCGGCTGAATCTGGACACCAGTTCTGACTTACATACAGATTCAATTTAAGAACCCCAGGCGTCCCCAAGTCAGCTGCTGCTGAAGCTGATCAGCAGCT